TCAGAAGTCTCTGGGTCCAGCCTTTGGCTCAGGTTGGATCCAGCTCCAGGTGTTGTTGAGTTTTGAAGCTTCTCTGTGCTCCAGTTCCCTTTTTTTCCCCCCTTCATGATAGAATAAATTGTTTTCTTACATCAAGCCAGAATTTCCCACCATCCCGGGTGATTTCCATCCTTTCACTGCGCACCTGAGGGAAGAGTCTCCATCATCTCTTTCCTTCCTCTCCTCCAGGACTCTTCATAATTTCTATTTATTTCCCACAAGCTCTCTCTAACTTTCATTTATAGCTCCACTTTCAGGCTGGGATTTTGCCCTCCTCCCTCCTCCTGACTGATATTTGCAGTGGAGCTGCAAACTTTTCCAGGGAAGTACAGGAGTGAAATACAAAACTTCAACTTGACAAAAGTTGGTGTGATTTATTCTCCTTTCCTTCCTTTTCTCTCCAGTCTTGTTCCCTCCTGTATCCCCTTTTCTTTTCATCCTCTGTGCAAGTAATTTTTGCAGCAGCTGTGCTCACTTGTTCTGTTCTTATCTTTTGTTTTGCCCTTGCCTCTAGGTTTGTTCTTCGTATTTTGGGTTTGCAGTTTGTTTCTCTGAGCTTTCCTTGTCCTCGTTTCCCCTCTCATCCATGGAATGATGGATTTGTGGGGCTTCTCCACCTCATCCTGGGTGAATACCATGCTGGGTATTTCCCTGAAAAATATTTCCTTTGGGTTGATATTGGGTTAATATTTCCTTTATCTGGCTGATAAACAGAACCATAAAAACGTAAAATCTAAGCATGTTACATTTACAAAATGCAAAATCAAAACAACAGCTCTGAGTTTGTTGTGCTTTTTTTTTTTGTAAAAAGAAATTAAAATTTATTGACAACTCAAAGGACACAAACACTTAATTTGATCCTGTTTGTTTCCTTTAAAAGCTATTTTTAAGACAGGCTCTGCAGCCATTTCTGAGTCTCTGAAGAAGGCCATATCTGAAATATTTGATTGTAATAATGATAGCAGATCTTAGTGAACTTTGAATAATCTGTCACATGAAACAGCAAACTGAAAATTTGGGGTTCTGTTGTTGAAGTAATAAAATAAAACTAAATATCAGAGCATTGTATTATTAAACATGAAGATTAATCTTCTACAGCAGTGCCTTAATGCTGTGCAACTAAAATGAATGTTCCAACTATTTTTTGGAAAAAAAATGTTTTGTGCTTTGCTTTCCATAGGAGAAGCAATGAATGGAGAACAATTCCATTGGCTGTTACAATGCAGAGGCGTTTTTTAAAAATAATTCAAGGAGGGTAAGAAAATGTTCTGGTCTGAAAGAACAGATTTAGAAGTGCTAAATAGCTTCATTATGTTGTTTAAATGTTTTAATAATGGTGTTACACGATGTTCTGTAAATTTCATTTACATTATAATTGCTATTACAATGTTAAAATACCATCAATGAGATGCTATTGTGCTTCCAAAATTCAATTATCAGTGTATCTTCTTTTATATCAGGCTTAGCTGTTGTGTTTGCAAATTTTAGATAAAACTCACTCTGCAGACATCCATAGCGAGCTCCAAGGGAGAGAATAAAGGAAGTGGAAAAGACAGGTAAACTGAGAATTTATTGTGTGTATGATATAGAAAGGCCACACAAAGTTATCTAAAGAGAGGAGATTTCTGCTTTGGGTGTTCTTTATGTTCTTCTGAAGGGCTGTGGAGACTTGGCTCTAACCAATAATGATATTTTTTCCTTTCACTGATCCACACATGTATTCTTAGATTTGCAAAGAAAGATATCAAACAGAATTATTATCTTTATTTAAACCCATCTGTCCCGAGCTAAACTCTTTCAGACTTCCCCTTAACTGGCAGCTAATCAGCAGGCACTTCTCCCGTGTCAGAGCTCACCCCTTCATGTGAATTTTGTGAAGAAAACCCATTTCTCTGTATTCAAAAGCAACGATTCACAGTACCTCACTGTACACTCTGCTCTGCATCCTACTGATTATCTCCCCTTGGAGCTGGAATTGTGCCATTTCCACTGAAAATCCAAACTGTAGTCAAATGCCAGCCTCTGTTTGTTGGAGGTCAGGCTTTAAGTCCCTTTTCCTGAAGGATTAAAGAGCTGCAGTTAAGTAGCTCTGGCAGGTGAGTTCAGTGAGCAGCAGCTCTGGTTAAAAGCAGAATGCTGAAGGAAGAGAGGCTCTGAATTAAATCAATCTGCATTAGGCACTGCTTCTCCTTTACAGAATTTAGGCTTCTTTTGGGATTCAGCAGCTGCTTCTTCCCAGAGCTGTAAATCCATAAAAACCCCTGAGTGCTGATTGCTGCATTGTTTGACACCCATCCAGCCCCTGGGGTTGGCAATCACCGAGCTCAGGATGGAGGGGAGCTTGATCAAATTGTTGTTGGCCTCCAGCAGTCCCTGCTGAACTCCTGAATTCCCCATGGAGATTTTCCTTAACTCTCTTGGCTTTTTCTTTCTCAGGCTCTGGTCACCCTCAGAAGTTCTTTCTCCCAGCTGTGGCTTGGAATTTGGGTATTGGAATTTTGTCCTGTTTGCTGGGACAGCCACACAGCTTCAGTGGTTCTCCCTCTTGGAGCACCAAGTTTAGCAAACACTTTCTGCTGGATTTCCCAGCATTTTGTTAACCAGTGCTGTTTTTATTGGTTTTATTGGGCAGTTTGAAGCCCCACGGGCAGCTGAGCAGTTGTGCAGGAGGGAATGGTGTGTCCTGCTTTCCTTCATGACCTGTCCACCACCCTTGGAGTGCTGAATGGATTCCAAGAACTGGTGGGGTCAATGGTAAACGTTTTGTTATGTCTATATTGTCTCAAAATTGCTGAGATTTCTTCTGCATTTCTTGAAGAAGTGGATGTTATGATTGTCTGTCTTTGCTGAGAAAAAAACAAGTTTTGTGTCGTGTTTTCATCTCTGTCAAAGTAGATATTTGCAACCAAGGAGCCAGGGTTTGAAGCCCTGCTGTGAGCTGAATTTGTTTCATTTACATTTTTACTACACATTTAGTAAATGTATTGATGTGGTATTGAATTATTATCTCAGGGACTGGGTAAAGCAGTAAAATGTTGTGTTTTGAATGATATTATACTTTGCTATGTCCAAGACAGCAAGGTTTTAATGTGAGTTTAACCAGAGTGTCCCTGACATATTTCCATGGGGGTTGTTCCCTTTGCTGGTGGGATCAAACACATCCCAGTATTTGGAAAAGCACAATGGTAAATAGAAACAATTTCTCATTTCAAAGTGAAAAAAAACAAACATAGCTGGAACTTGGTTATGATGTGATTGAGTGTTATTTAGCCAAGCATTGCATTGAAGACTCATTAATTGAGATACTCCTACAGTTTTGTTCCTTGTAACCTCTGAGAGATAAAAACAGATCATGAATCACCTCTCAGATTTGGGTCTGACTGTAATGCAGAGAACCAAAATAAAAAAGAGTACAAATAAATAAGTTTTCTACACAGCACAGGGAGATTTTTGGAGTTGCTAGCCAGCAAGCAAGGCCAAAATTCTCATTACACTGAGGACTCTCTGTGCTAAATTTTTGAAAGGCATAAAATAATATGGTTGGTTGCAACAGCAGGAGGATGGACTTGATAATCTGGAAGGTTTTTTAAGTCCTGCATTCATAAATTTTGAGATACTGGTGGAAGGTGTCCCAGGCTGTGGCAGAGGGTTGGAATTAGATGATCTTTAATGTCCCTTCAAACCCAAACCCTTCTGGGATTCTGTGATATATATGTGTGTAACTATATATAAAATATGTAAAATGCAATATGAGGTGACAGATGCTGTGGTAGCACCCTGAGGGACAGCAGAATCATACTGACAGAGGATGTCAGCTGAAAATCAGCACAGGAAGCTGATCTTTTAATCATTTAAGAAAAAAAAGTAAAATAATTATCCTGATGAGCTCTTTCTTTAGATGGAGGGCTAAAATATGTGGAGGGCTAAAATTTTATAGGGTTCTTTCCCAGTATTTTTATTTATTTATTGATTACCAAATCCTCAAATCTATTTTTATTTCCTATTTCTGGTTAAGGTTTGGAGAACCAGAGGGATTTTAAACTAAATGAGGAAATGGATCAGCCAGGAATCACTGGATGCATGGAGCATCTGAGGCCTGGGATGCAATAAAAAGGGAGGAAGGATGAGAATGCAAAACACACACTTGTAAAAGTTTTAAAGTTGACTCTGTCTGGTCCTACAGATGCTGAAAGTCCCCTGACAAGCTGACAGCAGACATGAACTCAAGCAGGAGAGGTTTCTGGCTGGGTGTGAGGAGAAGCCCTGCCCCAGGAGAGCTGTTCTGCCCAGCAGCAGAACAGGGAGCACAGAGGTTGTGCCTCCCCTTTGTGAAAAACGAGGTTCACATTTTTTTATAGAATTTAAAATTTTAATAGAAAGACAATTAGGAGATAAATATAAAGTATACAGATATGGCTGGGTGTCTCTGCATTCAGCCAAGAGAGCACCCCTTACTAACAAAGGGTTATCCCTTAAAAACAGAATCCTACATATCCATAAATTCTCATACATATTCAGACATTCTTTTTAGGATTTTTGATGTTCCTCTGTTTAGCTTTTTCCTTTCCCCTTCCCAACAGATCAATCTTCTTGGTGCCACTAGGTTTTATGTCCTCTGATAACGGGTGCCATGAATTTTTCCTTTGGAGGGCTTGGAGGACTGCTTGTCTTCATCTGGACAAGATAATCTTAGGATGTAGGGGGTCTCTGATTATCTTTTTAGTCTCTGGGTTATATAAATAAAAAGTAGTTTGTGCTTTAATATCATGTCATAGCCTAACATATTTGTATTATACCACTATTTCTAAATATCATCAATAACAGGAATAAAGGAAATTATATTGATACAAAGCCAATAATATGATATGCATTTATAACACCTCCATCCCTGCACTCCCCAGCTCTGCCCTGGAGAAATCCCTGAGCACCTGATGGGCTCCAGAGCTGCTCCTGCTCCTGCTTTGGAGCCCTCCTGTGCTCCCTGCTGATTTTATGATGCTGTGATGGAGGCAGGTGCAGCCATTCACCCAAGAGAAAGTGCACAGACAGAGATTCGTGCTGGAGCTAATGGGCAATTAGAGAGCTGCTGGAGTAATTAAACAGCTGCTGGAAGCTCTTCCAAGGGACAGCTTGTGGTGCTACAGCGTGGGAAGAACTCTCAGGAAGAGCCTGGCCTTCAGCAACAGGTGACAAATCTCTACAGAATAAAAACATCTTAAATACCTTTGGATTTTAAGTAAGAAAAGGGTGTTTTAAAGACTTACCTAAGGGGAAAGAAACACGTTTTCAGAGCCACACATTGTTTTAGAACAGTGTTTTAGAACAGAGATATAAGTCCAGGTTCTTTAGATTTTGATAATTTCCAGCTGATCTCTGGAAATATAAAGGTCACACCTTTGTGGCAGGGTGGGAATTGGGAATTCAGCAGGAAGAAGAACATTTGGTGTAAAAGATGGGTGTAATGACCTCCTTTTTCTGGACTAATGGCCAGTGAAGGCAGTAGTGGAATTGGAATTTGGATGTGGATTTCTCAGTGTTCCTTTCTGTGCCTGTCTGCCTCTTACCCTCCTCTGACATGAGGCAGAGGTTTCAGAAAGCTCTCAGGAGTGCATCAAGGGTTTAAAATATATTTATGGTGTTATTCCTTGTGTCTAAGAGGTCAAATATTTTCAGATCTCTCACATGTTAGAGCTGGGTTACCATTGGCACATTCCTGCTCAGAATTTGACATGGCATGGAACATATTCAATTGATTTATTTTTTTTTAATAGTGACAATGATGTTCTGATTTTGCAGCAGCTTAATTTCCTTTTCTTCTGCATTTTAATGATGATGTTGGCTACTTTTGCTGGTCAGCTGGATATGATTAAGTAACTGAGCTCAGCAGGTGCTTCCTGAGAAGGCAAAGATCTGGGAGGTCACACAACTTTTCAGAGCTGCAGTGGAGGACAAGGTCCTGTTATGATTGATGGTGCTGAAATGGAAATGTTTCATCTCTACAGTGTGCAGAGAAGGAACTGCAGTCCCAGAAGTGAGCAGGTTAATTTTTATCCTCATGTTAATTCTGCCCTGATATGCTCCTGAATCCTTTGGACAAAGGAGGGCTGCTGCTTAATGAAAACTCGTTTGCCCAAAAGAATAATGGCAATGGCATGGGTTCAGAAAAATGGAGAATTGTGTAACTCTGACTGAAAAATAAGTGGGTAAAACCCTGCTGATATCACAGTAATAACTGGAATAACCTCTAAGTCTTTAGGGCAGTGGAGCTTCCATGGTAGTGGTTTTTTATTTGGACCTCATCTCTTAACTTTTCCTTCACAGGGAAAATGAGGAGGTGATACAGGATATAATAAGGAGCCTTCCTTTTTTATAATCCACATTTTAATCTACATTTTTAATCAAACTACAACATTTAGGTTTATTTGCAGGTTACCACAAAACAGGAGATAGGTGTGATTGCCTGGATTTGGTTTCACAACAGGCACGGATGCGTGTTAGCAAACAAAATTGGATATATTTAGTAATGGCTGAGTAAATATTAGCAAATGGATGGTGTAATTAAATCAACAGGGCTGTAGCTGAGAGGGTGCTGGCAAGCTCTGATGGAGACTGCTGGGTGGCTGAATGGGAAGCTGAAGATTCAGAGATAAGAATTGATGGATGTAATGTTATCCTAATTGAGAAGAGGGGAGCACCTAAAGCACTGAGAAATGAAATTGATGACCTGTAAAACAAGCTGAGATGAAAAAAAAATAAATCAGCTTGATGGAGGCTCCTGCAGGAGTGCAAGGGGCCAGAGAAGGCTGGGCATGTGTTGGGTAAACTGAAGTTTTTCTTAAAAATGGTCAGGATAATGTGCAGTAATAATAAAACTTTAATTATCACTAAAAACTTCTGGGATATAATTTAATTTTGCACTTATTTTATGAATCTGAGGGTGGTTTTTCCTCTCCCCTCACAGATCCCCTGTTCCCAGTGCTGCCTTGTTTGGGAGCTGTGAGCAGTGATGAAATTCTGTGCTCCCATCCCTCTGCTCCCAACCTGAACTTGTGGTGCACTGCTTCTGGGGTGAGGGAGAAATGCTGCTTTGGAAGAGGGAAGGAGGATGAAAACCATGGAATGGAGGTTTGGTGGCAAATCCTCAGCTCTGGGGAGCAGGATGGAGCACAGTTATTTACTTGTTATTACTCTACAGCCATCAGGAGGTTCCAGAGTTTCTATTTTAATAAATCAGTTCTGCTGGATATTTGTTAAACCAGGAATTCCATGGCTAAAGTGTTTGAAATGATGTAATTTTTACTATTTAATGCATGTGCAATGCTGTACAGTACAGCCTGCTGTCCATGCTTATGGATTGGTGAGTTTAGAGGAGAAAAACCAGAAGAGTTATTTACTGGGACCTGCAGTTCTGTGGGAAGCATTGCTGGAGGGAAACATGTCCTGAGAAATGAAGTCTGGAAAAATTCCTGTTCAGCAGTTGATGCTGAGAGCCTTTTCTCTTGACTATTTTCATGTTCTTTCCAGATTGCACCAGGAAAATCCACAAATGCCAGAAGGAGACAGAGGAGTCCTGCAACTTTATTTGAATAAAGGGAGAGAGATTAAACTAAGGGCTCCTCATTTCTCAATTATTATTAACTTCACCCTTTGGAACAACCTGGAATGTTTCAAGCACACCCTCCTGACTTTTCCAAGCCTGGTCCCTGCACCAGGCACGACAAGTAAATACAGAGAATAAAGAATACAGAGAATAAAGCAGACAAGGACAGTTCATATCAGCCCATTAAGCACTAGAGGTCCTTGTCCATGGCTGCTGATGGCTGAGGTCTCCCAGCCTTTTCTTCCAGCTGAAAATTCCAGATCTCTGGGGCTGTGGAGACCTTGACCTGGCTGTGGAGGGTGCACGTGTGGCCAGCTGTCCTGGCTGCTGTGTCTGTGCTCAGATCAGGACCTCAAATGACCTCAAGTGACCCCTGTGAACTCAAGTAACCTTGCTAGAGGCCTCAAATGACCTTAAGTAACCTCAATCAGGGACTTAAGAGACCTCAAGAAAAGAATCCCAAATGTCTGGCCCAGCAGCCCTCAGGGGTGGTGTGACCTCACTGAGGGCACTGTCAGTCCCCACTGCACTTTGGCCCTGGCCCCATAGGGCATTTAAAGGGTGAACGAGCCTTGCTGAGCTCCCCTGGGCTCCCCAATCATCTCCTGGGTGGGAATCACAGAGACAAGTTGAAACAAGTCTTGGTTAGGCTTTTATTTTATTTTAATTAAGGAAAAAAGAAAAAAAAAAAAAAAGAAAAGCAGCACTTTGTCGTTGTTGAGATGTTCTACAGCACATTTAGATGATGATGATGATGATGAAGAATTTGATTTGGACCTGTTGTTCTTCAGCTCTCAGCCATCCCACAGCAGAGGGGTCACCTGTGAGGCCAGGCAGGGTATTCAATTGTCTGATGTCTTCCGTCCCCACAGCAGCAATCCCCAAAGCCCAACGATGTCCTTTTGGGTCTGTGAAATACCCATTTGTGAGATGTTCTGTGCTGAGGCTGCAGGGGCCTCTGGGCCAGTCCCAGTGGGAGCTTTCTGCCACTCATTCCCAGTTAAACTCATTTCAGCTGCTGGGATCCTCCTGGCCCCCCAGGAAACAGAAATGGATTCTGCTCCCACAATCCTTGATGGCATCAGGGTACACTGAGCACTGGTGCCACCCAAAGCTGTATCTCTGTGGGTCAGATGTGCCAGGCCATGGCATCCACACAGGTCAGACTCTCCCCTTCCTCCACCTGGCTTGAGGCCCCTCTCCTCCTGCTCATGGTACACATTGGTGTGCTCCTGTAGGTCTGTTCCTGAGGTCCCTTCAAGAGGATCAGTCATATTACCATTCCTGTACTGTCTGGAGTTCTGTCCACACGAGGCTGGAGCAGCACTGACCCTGCATGAGCTTCTTGTGGTGGATGTTCCACTTCTCCATGCACATCCCCAGGTGCTGAGGAGGAGGAGGTGGGTGGGTTTTCCATCCTGCTTCCTCACATCTGCTCCATGCTCCTGAAGGGAAACCAGAGGTTACCTCATGGTGTGTGTCCTCTCTCTGGCTGGGGACATCTGCTCCTAATGGCAGAGGCTCCTGTTGGTTCTGGTGAGATGTGGTGAATTGTCTTTACCTTTCCTTCATCACTTCTTTCACATCTTTTATATTCCTGAGATGCCTTTTTAACCAATCCCTGCAGGGGCCCACTCTGCCACCTCAACATGTCCTTTCTACCATGAGGGTTTTATTGTTTTTATGCCCACAGCACTTGGGATAGGCACATTCTGTAAGAAAGGCAACCAAGTTCTTTGGTATCTGATGTGTCGAGCTCTGTTCACCATGATAAATAAATAAAAAAAAGAATAAAACTGCCAAATAAATTTTGCATCTGTATTTAAAGCATTCTGACGCTCTAGTGACTCTACTGTCCCTCAGGGCAGATTGTTATGACTTTGATTCCCACTCTGGCTCTGTCATGGACTCTTTAGAAAAGTTGGGTCTGATGTTTTGGTGTGAAGTGTTTGTAGCTGTACCCATCCTACTGCAGTCAGATGGGGAAAGGGCTGACTTGGATGGGCCTCACACTAATTGAGCCCTCACACAAAGTAATTAAAAGCATCTGTGATTAGAATTTGCTGCTGGAAGAAGTAGTGGCTTTGCAATTGTAGTTTTTGGGGAATTGTTATCACTGGCTGAAGTAGTGAAATGAGAAGTGAGTAAGGTTAAATTGAAATTCCAGCAGAGCTCCAGCTGGAAAAACCAGGCTGGGAAACTTCAGTAAAGGAGGGCATGTAAACAGCGAGTGCTCTGGTGCCACCTCACAGAATGGAGAAAATCTCAGTGAATTTCAATAGTGGAGAGAAGTCAAAGCTGTAGGAGAAGAGAAATCCAAACTGGGAACATCCTGACAGTGTAATTCATCTATTCCAATCAATCCATTTAACTGTCTTTCCTGTTATTTATGGTGGTGCTCCTGGAGATTTACAGTGTTTGTTGGAGGTTGCAGAGCCTCATCACAGAAACCTGGCACAAAAAAGGGGGAGAAAATAAAGAGAAAGAAAGAAAAAAAAGAGATTCCCTGGAGAGGTTTTTATAAAATGTTCCTCTGTAAACACCTTTAGGTTTGGGATTGGCCTGAATGGCTGCAAAAAATTAAAATGGTCTGGCAAGAGAATTATACCCCAGCAAAATTTGTGCTGCTGTAGTCTGGGGTTGAATAACTGGGAGTTATTCAAGTAATAAATCTGGAATTTGGCTTTATATGGTGTCCTGGAACAGCAAAGGAGCTGCACCCACCATGTGCTTTAGGGACCTGGGGCTCTCCTGGCCTGCAGGAATCCCAAATGTGCCCTCTGAGCCAGGCTTGGTGCTGCCATGGGAAAGGCTGGAGTCTGCTCACCCTGGAAAAACAAAGGTAACGCTCACAAGACAAATCTGGCTGGAATAAGGAGGGGAAAAGAAGCTCATTCATCCAGAGGATTTAGATAAAACTGGCTGGGGGAGCCACAAAGACACAAGAACACAAAGAGGATAAGATAAAATGAAGGAAGGAAAGGCAGAAAAACAACTCAAAAGTGATGAAGAGGGAATATGTGAAGAGAGGGTTTGCTGGATGTGGAAGGGCCAAGGTTGTAGAGAGTTCCTTGAAGTGAGCTGAATAGGAAATGTGCTTTTTTTAGGGGCAGACAGTGCTCTGGGGGTAGTGCCCAAAGACCCCCAAGCCCAGCCACTTTCCCCTCTGGCTGTGGGGAAGGACAGCCCTGCTTAACACCGGAAATTCCAGCTCCAGAAAGTCTAAAACATAAAAATAATATCAAAGCAATTACCCTGTAGTTTGTTATGTCTTACTGAATGTTGGAATTCTAGAAAATCTCCCTGCTGTCTTAAAGCCACATGATTTTCTGTCTTCAGAGCTGTTATTCTGGTTTGATTTTGGTTAGTAATTACAGGTAATAGCTTGAAGGTAACTGGAGAGGAAGGGATAGTCCAAAACATGCCCAGATCATATTTTTAGGGAAAAAAAATTCTACAAACTGAATGTATTCATTGAATGAATATATTTTTCATACATTCCTAATGCACTAATTATGCTTGTGATAAACAAGGAGTTTGATTAATTTTCTCAGCTGTCCCTGACCTATATTTTAACATAAATATGTATGTCTCATACAAACAGCCTAAAAATTTTCCCAAACCATCAACTTGTTGCAGTTTCCAAGTTACTGGGCTTTGCTTACTGCTTTGCTTAGTGCTAAAGTCAAATTAATGGCTTCTGTACCAGTTAATGCCTCTGCTTTGCATCTTTGTGTGGGCTGGAAGGAGCAGCAAGGGCATTGAAGCACTTTGGTACTTGATGCTTTATTAAAACCTAACTTGATAGTTTAATTCCAGGCAGCAGCACCCTGGATTAGATGGGTGTAGGATGGAGATTCCACCTTTTAAACAGGATTTAGGGTGATTTTTCCAGCCTGTGCTCCTGGGGCTGCAGGAGGAGCTACCCAGATCTGCAGCTGTAACAACCAGTGGGAGACTTTCCTTGTTCAGGTATTTTCTTTCCTTGTTCAGGTATTTTCTTTGCTTGTTCAGGTATTTTCTTTGCTCTTGTGAAAAGGGAGATTCTTCCCTCTTTACCTTGCAGTATTACAAAAGACTGGAAGTTTTCACAGGTAGGTATAAATAATCTCCAAATAGAGGTTTTTTTGCCTCTGAGTTTATTTTAAAAATGTATTTCCTTCTGCATTTGTTATAATTTTTGCTTGTTTGGAGCTTGGTCAATTTGCTAGAAGTTAAGAAGGAAAAACTAAGAGGAAAAACTGCTGTTTCCCAGCTTGGAGATGATGTCTCAGAAAACTTAGATTTTTCCTATCAAGAAAGTGAAAAGATGAATAATTGGCCCCAAATGCTACAACTTGCCTGTTTCACCTCTATTATTCAGATTTCTGGGCCCTTGGCACTCTAAATTTTGGAGCTCAGCCTCCTCTTCAGCATCTCCTCCTGTATTTAAGTGCACCCATGGCATTTACAGACACTGAATCCTTACAGAACCCTCTTACACACACAATTAGATGCAAAGCAAGAAATTCAAATAAACAAAAATACTTTTTGGCATTCCCCTGAGGATATTACAAAGCTGCTGGAAATTAAATGCTGATTTTTTTTCTCTTCTCTACTGCTTCCTTTTCTTCTTCAAGACCTCCTTTGCTTTCATGACTGCCCCTTTAGTAAACAAAAAATTAGCATTTCTTACCCAACCTTGATAATACTCATCTTTAAATTTTCCAAGGAGATGCTTCTTTACTTGAAATCATGAGCTGCTTGTGCAACAGATTTATCTTCAGCTCTAGAAGTGAAAAATATGTTCTGATTGTTAAGGCATCTAAAATTCTTACAGAGAATTAGGCTAAATTAATGAATCATTGTAAAAAAAAGATATATTGATATATTTTAGCTTTTGGGTTTTGGAATTAAGTAGTAATTTACAGTTTTAACTGTAAAATAATCTGATATATTTGCTAAATAAAAGCCAATGGTGTATAATAAAGATATAAAT